TGCCTCTGAGCCACAGCCGCAGCCGCGGCTGTGGACCACACCTGTGGACCACACCTAGAAATAAAAGCTAATCAGCTATTTGTTGGTTGTATCAGAAACATATGATCTGAACCAAATGTGAGGGGAAAAAAGAGCTTGAAGTCTAAAGGCCTTCTAGCAGCCTTTATGTTGTTCATTAAAGACCAGGGGAAAGCTACCGAACCCAACATACAGACATTCATTTCAAAAGTAAAGAGCTGTTTGAGCTCACAGCAAAACATTCCATTGTAAGTGATGGGGACAAAATCCAGTCTCTGTTTTGTGCAAAAATGTATTTAAAAGTTTATTAGTTTATGTTAATATGAGGCGTCAACAGGTTGAGTTAATCAAATCAAGTTGTTATCTTCCAAAGTTAGTAAGTTAGACTTTTTATTGCAAAACCCCCTCTTTGTGTCTCCCTGTTTTGTCACAAATATGGTCGAATATCAAGTCATATTTCAAAACTGGAAAAATAAAAGTTTTAAAAGGTAGAAAGTCAGTGTTTAAAAGCTTGAAATTGAATAAAAGAAAAATTTTTGCAGTTTTGAAGGCTTGCATTATATTTAACAAACTATTTTATATTTAAGTCTGAGTTTCAGGGTTTGTCACTGTTCTGGTGTATTAGTGTGCTTTCCAGGTTTGCAACCTTGTAAAAGGTGATCTGAAAAGCTGCATATTGTTTACTCTCTGCTGCAGTACAGTGCAACCACATGCTGTATTTACCGCGCTAGGTGGTGTGGCAGACTGCTCTGCCAGTCACCGATAGGATACGCCCTGCGCAGTGCCTGTGGCAAGTCGAAGTAGCTTTGTTAAGTTAACTAATCATCTACTGCAGAATTTATTAGACGTCCATGTCAACCACAGGCACTGCTCTGTTTATGCTTTGGATGGCTGGAGAAGCCCTACAACCTTTCAGCACTGTAGATTTTATTTAGGTGTGAAGCAGTGAAATAAAAACTATGAGATATCGGAATATCCCACCAAACAGATGCCTAAAAAGCTTTGATAAGGGATTGTAAAGGATTTGGCTTCAATAAGCGGATTCGGAACTGGACTGAGATTCAACACAATGCTATCAATCCTCATCCAGACTCATGTCCCATGTTGGGTTTTCGGCACTAGGAATCGAAAGGAAAGAAAGATTGTGAGGCCATTAAAATCAAAAGTGTGATGGGAGCAACAAATTTCATCCTAATGTTCAAAGTGTGTGAAAGGGCAATTTTTGGCCTGACTGTGCTGTTAGATGTAAAGTCAGGAGGTCACCAACAATCTTTGGGTATCCTCGCACTAACTCTGTCAAGTATTTGAGGAGATACAGTATTAAGGGCCTGAGCAGAAGAACGGACGGAGTAAATGTGGTTAGGCATTGAGCCTTAATACTTTTGTGTTTGTATCACGGAGCATTGAAACCCGTAAAAAGTTCACGTCTGGTCATATATGCATGTCATGTCATTGACCCACTTCCCTCTGCCCATTCACATTAACATGTATATGATGAAATATGATGATATTTGATATATGAAAAAACTTTCTAAATATGTAAAACTTTTCAAAATAAATGTCCTCCAACATGTATAGTAATACTGACTGATGAGTCAGAAGGTTAAAAGCATTTACTAACCTGTCCCCTGAGCCCTGTCAGTAAGAAAACACGGTTCTTTATCCACCAACACAGGTGGCTTTGCAGATTCCTCCAATGACAACTTCTTACAAATCAGTTTTTCTTCCAGATAACAAAATAAATTAATGAATTCAAAGGGAGCTCCTTTAGATAAAAGCTAAATGAAAGTCGGTGTGTTTCCCAGATTCCCGTTCAGCTCGGCGTGTGGCCGTTTCTTTGACAAAAATCCCCATTGGCAACGGTAACAAAGGCATCTATTTGACATTTCCCTTCTCATTAGTGCAGATCTGTTAAAGGCATACACGGACTGATATGCATTAGAAGCTGAATTAAAGCAGCTCCATTCTCACACACACACACACACACACACACATCACACACACAGCACACACACACACCCACACAACCTAATTAAGCAGGAATGATAGAATACAAGTCTGGTGGGGTAAAATCTGAGCCGTTTCTTAATTTAAAATCTCATCAGAGGATTTTTTGATATCAGCTGGTGAGTGGGTACACACCTGCAAATCTAGATACCCCAACTCAGTAAAACAACAGCGCACAGATGTAAATCACCTCAAGTAAAGTGGGTCTAAAAATAGCTCTGTCCTTTGCTTTCCTGACTTTCCGTCTTCGTCCGTCATCTTCCTGACATTTTGCAGGAAGTCGTGTCGTAAAGGGATAGATTCATTACGCGCGATTAGCCGCTGGGGCTCTACAGCTGTGAAATAATATGACCAGCTCTTACTCCCGCCTGAGCTGAGCTGAGCACGACTTTCCAGCTGACGAGCCTGGATATCTCATAAATCTCCCAGGAAGCCTTTCCCTTCTCCGGATGTGAGCTGAGGGTGGCCCTGGTGGCGAGGAGCCCCTCTCATGCTCACTTTATACACTAATCTCTGTGTTAAGGATGAACTGGAGCGACACCACACACACACGCCGGCTGGCTCAGAAAGACGCGAGGGAAGGGGAAGGAGCGAGTATGCGGCGCGTCGTGATGTAATTGGCACCTCACTCGATTTCTTGGGTCAGCTGTGTGCTGATGCCAGGCTGCGTTCTTGGCTTCTGTCACTCAGCTTTGGATGTTGGGTTCTCTCCGTCGCTGGTCTCATCACAGCCTGAGACAAAACAGGCAAAGAGTTACTTATAAAAACTTGCTCAAAGTTTTTTTTTTTTTTTTTTGAGGGGTAAAGAGAGAAGGACATAGACAAAGGTGAACCGGCAACACAGTTAGCAAACAACTAATAATAATAGATATTCATACCGATTTTGTGCCATGCGTCAGCCAGAAGCTGTCAATACATTGACTGTTTTATCCGAGTCTGGAAGCCAATTTTTACCATCCTACTGTTTAGATCTTGGTTGAAACAGAGAAACAGAGAAACAAGCTAGCTACACATTAGCGCAGCAGCCTCGGCTCGCAAGCCCTCCGGGGACGTCCTTTGTCATCCAACAGCGTGGGAGAAAGTGATTTTTAAGGTGGAACTGCTTTATTCAGCGCTGGAGCAGTTCAGGTGTAAGCAGTGTGGTCTGGGCTCACCTTCAGGGTCTCGGCACACAGGACATACTCGTGCAAGGCGGGCACGAGGGCTTCAGACAAATGCTGGATCTGCTCTTCTGTTTCCTTGCTACACCGCTCCACACAGCTGGCCACGCCCTTCAGTGGCTCCGCCAGCTCCTCCTCTGACTCCGCCCACTGGGTGTAGGTGGGGCTGTACTGCTTCAGCTCATCCAGATACTCTGGAACACAGAGGACACATGTAAACATAAACTGGAGGACAGTATCCAGTGTCCATTAAGTTGGAAAGGGTCTGACCATGTAATGCTACCACTTGAGGCCGTTCATCAGACTTAACACAACTCCGTCTGGGCTTTATACGACTAACTAACTAACAAACGTAGTAGTACTCCCTGTAGAGTTCTGAACCAGCTGCAGTCAAGACCAAAGATCTGCTGAGGCAGGTGCATAAGGCGTTACAGTAGCGGAGGCGTTAGGTAATAAAAGCATTTACTTTTTCCAAATCATTAGGCTGAAGGAAGGGGATTTTTTCTTACATTCAGGATCGGGCCAGAGATTTAACATAGAGATCAAAATGTAGTTTCAGATTAAAACACACTGGATTTAACATTTTGGGCAGCCAGTTAAATTTGAGTAATTGTACATTAAAGTACAGACAGAGCTAAACATTCTTCTACAGGCCTGGAATTAAGTCATTTTTAGGGCAAGGCCTCTTTTGCCTTTAATAAATAGAAATTTATTGGGGCACCAAAGACCAAAAGTACCAAACAGTATATATAGTATATAAATAATAAGCTCAACCTTAATAAAGCAGTGGTGTTATCCAAAATGATCTTATGTAATAGTAAACACTGACAGGGACCCTTTTACTGCACAATGACTACTTTAAATACTAATGCAGTATGTTCACAGTGGGGTTAGTGTTGGTACTTTTACTTTATGGATCTGAATACTTCCTCCACCTCTGGTTAGCACACCCACAGCCCAGCTGAACACCTGTTTTACCGATCCTTCCGCTGAGATGGGGATACTTTTTCCCAGAGTTTTTTTTTATTTTTTATTTCTAATACACACAGAGAATTGTATAAAAAGTTCCCTAAACTGGAAATAATCTACTCAAAATGCATCCAAATCACTTTATGCAAGCATCTTTCTGTTATGGAGTTCCCTATCTGGGTTCATTGTAGTTCAGTTTTGAATATAATATCAAACATCCAAAAAATATGTCACTGAGTCAGGGGCCGTCAGTTTACTCAATGATA